TAGCTATTGTTTTTAGTTTGGCTTTTGGTTTTAGTCTTGATATCCTAGAAGTGAGACCTAGATTGTGTACTTTTCAGGTTTACCAGTTTAATTATCCAACAAATACAGCTTGTGACAAAACAACATTTAAACAACTTCTTCATTAATTGAACATCTTGTTATGGAGCTAGATAATAGGTTTACAGAAAATGGTATGTTTGATTATAAAGATTTAGCAGTAGTTACTTCAACTGAATAAGTTTCTGGGTTCTTTCCTTTTCTTGAGAGGCACGTAATGTGAAGTAATGTTGCCTAAGGTTAGTCCTCCATTTCTGTATTCTTACCTTTTCTTGATAAGCACGTAATGTAAAGTACTGTTAGATTATTACCAGAATAAGTTAAGAAACCATGAAAATCTGATTTTTATGAATTTTTAAATTTTTATTTATCTGAATATGCCTTATTCTACTTCAATACATGCTGAGTTAGATTTAGAGTTCAATTAATTAAGATACTGTTAGTCTATATTTATTTTAATTAATTGATCTTCAAAAAAATATATATATTGAAAATTAATAAATTGATAAATAAAAAAATTCCTATCAAGAAAATAAAATAATCCAAAAATGGAGGGTTAACCTTAAATAAGATTACTAATACTTTACATAAACTGCTATCAAGAAAAGGATAGAGTCTAGAAATGGAAGGCTAACTTTATAATTATAATATTAATTAACTAGTTTAATATTACTTTACATTAATAAATAATATAACAGTACTTTACATTACGTGCTTATCAAGAAAAGGTAAGAATCCAGAAATGGAGGACTAACCTTAGGCAACATTACTTCAAATTACGTGCCTCTCAAGAAAAGGAAAGAATCCAGAAATGCAGAGCTAGCCTTTGGCAAAATGATAGTACACAGATAAAGTGCAAAGTCCTATGGCTTACCTTCTCGTTGGTGCACTATGTTAAGTAATTTAAACTTAAAATTACATGTCTAATTTATGAACAAAATAGCCAAGGCAACATTTGTGAAAAATTCTATAAAAAATAAATACTACAAAAACGATACAAAACAAATTTAGTTATTATTTAATGACATAAAGAGCGGCGTCACTTCTTAAAAAAAAACCCGTCCGGGACATGTCCTCCCCACTCTTGCTAAGTCTTTTTCTGTCCTTCTTCTTTTAAAATTGACTATACTTAAACCCTAGGGATGTTAGGGGGGGTGGGGGTGGGAAATTTGTTAAAAACCTTTGCATCACCCTTTTAAATTGCTAGATCTTCAGGATTTTATAAGACTCAATTTCCTATATAATATATATATATATATATATATATATATATATATATATATATATATATATATATATATATATATATATATATATACATACATATATGTATATATATATATATATATATATATATATATATATATATATATATATATATATATATAAATATATATATATATATATACATATATGTATATATATATATATATATATATATATATATATATATATATATATATATATATATATATATATATATATATATATATATATATATATATATATATATATATATATATATATATATATATATATATATATGAACTATGGCCCTCAATAAAATTGATTGTTTCTGATACAACTGCAGCTAATTCTGGAAAAAATCTGGGAGCTATCACACTGTTGCAGAAGCACTTTGAAGTTATTGGATTAGAAAAACATGTTTTTATTGGTTGTCAACATCATATTCTGCATGTGATATTAAAACACGTCATGAATGATCATTTGAGGGAACAAAGAATTCACCCAACATCTGTTATTACTTTATTTCACTAATAAAAGAACACTATGAACAATTGAAGAAATCATTTGATAATACAGGAAAAGAACAGGAGAAAGTAGAACAGGATTGCTGGCGAGATGACATGTCCTTTCTTGATCACTTAGTATAATGCTACAGGTATTTCAAAAGTACAGGAAGTTTCCTAAAAGTGCATTTCCGATCACTTCCATCTATCAGTAATGCAAGATGGAACTCAAGAGCCATTTATGTTTTTATTAGTTTCATTCTGATGCCAGAGTTTAGAAAAACAGCAAAAGTGGCATGTGATTTTATCTCTGGTTAATGGTCAAAAGTCTGGTTCTCTTCTCAGTTCTTCAATTTTGCTGACTTTGATAATTTGTCAGAAACTTGTAAAGAATATCCTAAGGCTTTGCGCTCATTGAGGAAGTTTTGGTCAGTGGAGCCTACGCCTATAGCAACCCAGCGTTCAAATATCTGTGCCGAGCGTGCCATTAAAATAATGCAAGACCTGCTTCCACTCTGCAGATCGACTGAAAAGTTGAATGTTAAATTTCTTTTAAGTAATGAACATTAGAAAAATACTGGTATATATAATATATATATATATATATATATATATATATATATATATATATATATATATATATATATATATATATATATATATATATATATATATATATATATATATATATATATATATATATATATATATATATATATATATATATTGATATAGTTATAAATTAGAAAAAAAACACATCCTTAACTTTTCCTTTTTTTTTTAATGCAAGTTTTTTTTTCACTGGATCATCAGAAAGATTGGTGATCCAATAAATTGAGGAAGTGGCAAAAGAATATATATTTTTTAAATTATTATCTATTACAGTGATTCCAAAAGTGGTCTATTTATTTTGTGGTATATTTGTTCATTAAAAATTGAGTTCCAAGTCTTTTTAAACTGTCATTGCTCTTCAACTTAAAATTCAATGCTTTTAAAGTTTTTATATTTGACGACATTTTTATTTATAAAGAAAAAGAGAAATGAAAGAGTTTTTATAATAGAAAAAAAATAAATAACGACTGTTGTGTGACGTGATTGATATAATACAGTTGTGTTTTTAATAAAATTATAGTGAATCAGCGTTATTTTGTTTGAGAGTGCCGAAGAATACAAATTTTTTATTACATTTTTTGTAGTTAGTTAGCAAAGATAAATAAATTACGTGAATCATGACTTTAAGTTATTGGTAGTTTAGTATTTAAATCATGCAAAGTTACATGAATACATTACATAAGTTATATTCATTTTTTGAATATTATTTATGTAATGTAAACACTTAAAGGTAAACTTCAGAATGGACCCAGGCTGAACAGAATGTTCGCTTTGACATAACAAAGAAACGATGATGGTTTGTGGGCGTCTTAAAACATCTCGCTACTTCGCAAAATCCGGAAAACCGCACACTATTGGAGAGAGTTAATTTTGCAAAACGTTAAAGAGGTTTTAAAAACTGTTTTACACAAACCTGTATCTGATATCATTAAAAGAATTCCCTTAAGCAACAATACTGTTGAAAGGCGTATTGATAAAATGAGTTCTGATATTGAATGCTTCTTGAGTAATTATTTGCAAACGACATATTTCTCTCTACAACTGGACGAGTCAATTTTACCTAGTAATGCAGCATTATTATTGGAATGTGTTCGTTTTATTATGAATCAAGAAATTCACGAAGAACTGCTCTTTGCAAGAACGTTGACAACCGACACTAAAGGTGAATCAATATTTAATGTTTTGAAGGATTACTTTATATTAAAAACAATCCCTTTATCAAATATCATATCAGTAGTTACAGATGAAACACCTGCCATGGTTGTACGTTATCGCGGATTTATAAGCTATTTAAAACAGAATGTGTCAGGGGTGTTAGCAATACATTGCATCATCCATCGGCAACATTTGGTTGCTAAAAATTTGAGCGCTAGATTGCATCAATATCTTCACTATTTTAGAATTTTTGGATACTAAAGATAAAATTTTAAAAGACAATTTAATAAAAAATGGAAAACAGATATTACCTATTTAACATATTTGTTTACAGAATTTAATATGGTTAACTTGCAGTTACAAGGCGACAATTTAAGTTTGATTAAAAAAAATCTTTTCGCCGTTTCTTGCAGAGTTAAACTAATGAAGCAAAATATTGAACGGGACGAACTTTCCCAGTTACCCAGTTTGTCACTGACAAACAGTCTATTCAGATTTCGAAACTAGGTTTGAGGATGTTTGCTCTCTATTCAGATTTCGAAACTAGGTTTGAGGATGTTTTGATCATGGTAATACCACCGTGGATAATTAACCCATATGGTGAGATAGAAGAAACAAATGTCATAATACAAGAGGAACTGATTGCACAAAGTACAAACGAAAAACTTAAGGTTCAGTTTAAAAATGTATATCAGCAATTCTGGATAGAAAACATCATCCCCTTTACTTATCTTGTAATATGGAATATAGCGAGGATTTTTTTTCCTTTCCATCCTCATACCAAGTGGAAAGAGAATTCAGCTTTATTACCGATTTCCTAACAAAAAAAAAAAAGAAACAGACTAGAGATCATTAGCCGAGAAGATTTAAGATTAAACCTAACGAAGTTGGCGCCAAATGTTGATAGTTTATTAAAACATCAGGTTCATCCTTCTCACTAAATATATTTACTTATTGCTTAGTTTATTTTTTGTGTTTATTTGTGTATATTTTATGTTACGTATACAGATACACAATTTTATTTTGAGTATTTTTAATTTAAATGCAATTAATAAATGTATAAAACTTAGCATGTGTTTTTACTTGACAAACTAAACTTCACTACAGTTAGAAATTAACAAAAAATTAATATCAGGTAAGTTGGGTGTCTAACCGAAAAACATAGCAAGGGGTTTACGACACAATAACGTTTAGGAATCACTGATATATTACCTTAATAAATAATAATTTTATAGGGCAATAAATACTTATTAAATATCTCCAGGATTTTATTTTGTGTTGTCGTATTTTTGCTGAATTTAAAAACAGGCAGCTATATTTTAAATATAGGAATATAAAAAACCTTTATGTCGTATATTACAAAAAATAATAAACAATGATAATAAATGAAGCATAAACTAAAATATTACATATACATCAACCTACTTCATAAAATTCTTTTAACACAGGTGTAAACTCTCTGCAAGGAGGACACCAATGAGCTGAGAAATAATAAAGCACAAATTCCTAATAAAAACAATTTTAAAAAACTTATAGTATTTATTTAAAGAAATAGCAGAACAATAATTTTTAAAAATGTTTCAAGCTATAAAAAATTTTAAATAATTAAAACAATTTAAAAATATGTAATTAAAAAAAAAATCCAGTTTATGCCACTCAAAATTAATTTACATTTTTCTTAAACCTAAAGTTCTTAAGCATACTAAAAAAAAAAAAGATATACAATTTCTCAACAAAAAATAATGGAACAACAAACTACATAAGTTTGTTCTACAGTTAATGAAGCCAATGTTTATTTTATTTTACTTAATGTACCATTTTACTAAATATATCTATAAATGACCATATTTATTTATCCAAAATTTCAAAACTATGGCATAAAAAGAAAATAACTTAAAAGTAAAGTTAAATAAAAGTAAAAACCTTTTCACTAAGTATGTTGTCTGCTAAGCCACTAGAGCCATCAACTTTGAATAAAGTCACTCCAGACAAAGAATCCATTTTTTCCAATATTGATCAACTGCTGTGTTTTATTTTTAAAAGTATTTATTTCTAACTTGATAAAAATATCAATATCTTTATTTTTTGTAAATTGTCTAAAGTTTTTTGAATAAATCTTTATATATATAATAATAAATAAAGAATTGGTTTATAATAAAAAATTAATTATCATACTTAATCGTATATATACTTATCTAAATAATTAATTGAGAAACTAATTATAAATTGATTAAATGGAAGTTTAATTCAATCCTGTAAAACCATTGGAAACGTCCCTCAAGTTGTATACAGCTTAGTGATACAAAAAGATTATCTAGTCTTTCTCAAAAAACAAAAGTTGTACCTTTTTTAAAACGTATTTATATATTACTACGTATATATACGTATTTATATGAGATAATATCCTAATTATGTGATATCTTAATTATTAAGATAATATCCTAGATACTAAGCTTAAAGTTCTTTTTTTTTGTAGCACGAAAGAAATCAATCAATTGAAATTTCAAAATTGAAGTTTTTAACTTGAATTATTAAAGAAACTTATTTTATTCTTTGAAAATGAATAAAATTAGACAAGTTAAATTGTAAACATTTTTCTCCTTAACTATTGATTATGTTTTTGACGTCAAAATGGCAAAGCAGGGTGACTTGTTTCTCGTATAAACACTTCAACCTGGTTAGCCAGTGTATGAACACTCTATCCTGGTTAGCCGGTGTAAGAACACTCCAGCATGGTTAACCAGTGTAGGAGGTACAGATACCTCCTACACTTGGTAATCAAACTGGAGTGTTCATACGAGAACAAAGTACCAACAATGAGTGTTTATACAAGATAAATTTCTTTCATAATCCGTTCATACACTCACAGATTACGGTGCAGTAACACCTACCTGTCGGCGCAAATTATTTGAGTTCATTTCCAATAATATAAAGATATTCATGACTAAAAACGTTGAAGTTTTAGTCATGCCAATTTAATTGACGCAATGAATCAGAAGCTATAGGTTCTGACTCATTGCGTTAAATTTAATTTTTAAAACATTTTTAAAAATGTATTATTTTTAATATATATATGTTTATGTACCGATTTGTAAATTTTTATATTTACGTTATACAATACGTTATTTTTATATTATGATACGTATACGTATTTTTTTTTTAAACATTTTCTTTTTGTTGAAAACTTTATAATTTTTTTTTAACTTTTTAGTTTTTATTTTTTTTCAAGCCTTTTAGTTTTACTCTTTTGTATAATATTAGAACTTGTAAAACTATATTTTTCTTTGTTTCACTAAAGAGCTTGATAATAAGTCATTTTGTCTTTTACTTGCCCAGCGACGGATCCAGGATTTTTTCGGTGTTTAATATAGCTTCTAGACATGGAGCAAACTCTAAACATTTGTATGTTTATACTTATGTCAAATAATGATACTTTTCGAAAAATTGAGAGTATTGGAGGCTGGGAACAAAAAAGGCCTTACTTTCATTCCCCCTACCTCTTTTCCCCATCCCAAAAGTTAGGGGCAGCAAGTTGATAAAATATTTTTTATACTATTTTTAATTAGACTTATATTCATCAATAAATTTTAAGTTTCATTCTATTATCTCTCAGCGTTCAACAATTATGTTATATAAAGTTTGTAACCCCTCAAATTGAGGGGGTTGTATAAATCAAAATTACGCGACGTTAGAATTATCTTGTTCTATCTCCACTTTCTGAAAAAATTGAGTTAATGATAGTGTTGTGTTCCTCAAAATAATGTCTTTCTACTCAATTGAAACCTAAGTTAGAAGTAAAAAAGTTACGGAAAAAACATAAGTTATAAAAGAAAATTTATACGCCGTCTCCTAAAGTTTTTGTTTTTTAACTTTTTTTCTTTAGGACTTTTTTTTTTTTTCAGAAAATTCTAGATATAGAGAACTTTTTTTAGAAACTATTGATTGTGCCACTCCCCCCCCCCCCCCACTTCAAAACCCATGTCGTCAGCTCTGAATTAGGTTAGGTGTCCATCATATAGTTAAAAACTAGTCATTGGAGTGACACCTAAATAAAATAAACAAACAAACAAAAAAATCAACAGCATTGTTTGTGAATAGAAGCAGGCGTAAACTAATAATATTAAAGCCTTTAATAAATTAAATAAGACAAAAATATATGAAAACACTCAAATAATAACAATAACAAAAGAAATTAGCAACAACAGCACAAAATAATAATAAACTTTATGTAAACGAAAAGGCAAACACAAAAACTTTAAAACTAAAACTAAAGCTATAAAAAAAAGGCAAACACAAAAACTTCTACAAAATAAAATAAAATAAAAATAAAATTTTTGTTATTTTTGGCGGGAAAGGAAAGGCGTAAAAAAATTGATAGCGATTTATTTTTACATTCATTTTATTATTATATTTAACGTTATTCGAACATTTTTGAACATCATTTCTTTTAACTTGGTACTTTGCTTTAAACCGATTATTTTTGTTTTTGTCTTATTAAATTTATTAAGAGGCTCTCCATTAATAACATCAACAATTTTTTAGCGATTTTTACTTCCCCCTTGTTAAAGACTTGTAAAACTTATATGAACCCTATAAAATTACGTCACAGTTATTAAGTCCAATCCCTTTAATAAAAAATCAAATTAATATGAGTATATATATAAGTAGTAGAGAATTGCCGGTTCTGGGCCATCTATTCAACCATAAATTATATTAAATATATGGTTCATTTTCATCTATTGTGTGTATAAATTGTATAATTAAGAAATTAATTTTTAAACTAGTTTTTTAAATTTAAAAATCATTTTTCAAATTAGTGCTAATTTCGTTTCAAGTCGTCGCGGAATTTTCTTGTGTAAAGTCATCAGTGCGCATGCGCTGGTTTATTTGCTACAAGATGAAGTAGTTGTCGTTATAGTGGTATTTGTATTAGCATGACCAGAAGTAGCTGATACGCATATATTCACATTTACATTGGAGTTTTGCATCTTTTTTACATGCATGATAATTATTTAGAAATTTTATTATAGATTTTTCAACTTTTTATTATCATCCCATGAGTTAAAAGTATCAGGATATCCATACCACTTTACTAACGATTTGTTTCCTTGTTTACAAATAACCTTTTCAATTCTAAATATTTTTTGATTCGTTTTTTGTAGTTCTTGTTCATAAAAAGTACCTTGTATTTCTTCACCATTATGATCAGTTATTTTATATATTGGTGGATCTGTGTACTAAATCTGTGATACTGTGAATACCTCTTCAGTCCATCTTGGCGTGTATCCTTTTTCAAAAACTCCTTTCTTTTTAGTTATTCTCACTTTATCACCTATTGAAAACTTTGGTTGAATTGGCCTAGATATTACATTTTTGTTTAGATTCATCCAAACTTTATTCTCATTCTTTTTATTGCTTGCTTCAGCTGGAGTCATTTTAATTGAAGAATGCTTTGTGTTGTTTAATTGAAGAATGCTTTGTATTGATTAACTATTTCATCTAAAACATCAATCTATTTTCTTGTAGAGTTAGCAGAGAAGTACTTGAACATTTTTTCTTTCATTTTTCTATTCCAACGTTCGACTACACAGCTTTTTTCTTCATTTTCAGTCGAGTAGAGCTGCACTCCTAATGCTTTAACATGCTTGTTATAAAATTCCAAGCCTTTATCTACCCATAATTTTGTACACTTTCTATCTTTAAATATTTTACTGAAAGCATGAGCAACTCCAATTCTAGTTTTAGTCTCCAATCGAACAATCTATCCATACTTTGAAAATACATCTATCACCATCAATAAGTATTTTACACCGTCACTGAATATAGAAAAAGCTTGCATGTCAACTAAATCAGCAGCCCATATTTCATCAATCCCATTTGAAATTACTTTTCTTTTTCTAAAATGTTTTATAACAGGTTTATGAAGTTCATTTGCAAGTTCATCAGTCCATTTCAGATCCCTATCGGTATCCATAGTTTTTAGGTTTGTCCTTTTTTTGCTGATCGCTGGTAGTTTTTTGACTTGACACCTAATCCAAACTTTGCTTTAGCAGATATGATTTTACAATCTTTCTTTCTAATTTTTTACGTGGTGTTGGATCTTGTATAGCATCCATTTGTTCAATCATTTGTTTATCAGCTAAATTTCTATATACTTTATCTGGAAAATGCTTATAAACGAGATCATGAATATAAGCTGCATTGTCAACTCGATCTACAGGCTTACTCCATTCTTTATATGCATCAGTAGAAGTTATTCTTGCATCTAAATTAGTACTAGATCCTGCAAAATTCATACCAGGTAAATGCATTTTGCCGGGAAATTTTGCCCATGGTAATTTTTTATTCTTTGTAAATGAATTAAGTGATTCTACTAAATCACCACCTTTAGGTCCCTTGGATACATAAGAATTAATTCCTTTTGTAAATTGAATTTTTGTTGTATTACAATTAGCACAATTTCCACGTAGCATCTTTCTATTGTTTTTACTTACAGCATGTTGTAAGTTTAGTGTATCTGTTTTACTTTTACATTTAAGGCAGTGCATTTTTATTTAAACCTCTGTACATTTTTATTTAAATCTCTGAGAACGATATAAAAAATTCTTTATATAAATAAAATGGAAGTATTAGATTTGTCATATAATGAAAAAAAAGTACCAAAAGAAGATATTATTAAACTATTTAATTTACAATATAAAACAGAAAAAATGGATGTTTGCCCGAGCTGGTAATTGAAGTTCATTCAAAAAATTTAAAAAAGAAAATAGATATGGAGTGTCAGTTTTTTGAAATAGCAGATGATGTCCCAGAACCAGAAGATCTTGATTCTAATAAGAATAATTTAATGAAGTTTAATGATTTACAATTAACAAAGCAGAATAAGTGTGAAAAGTACTGTATAAGAGGAAGGCATAGTAATGTATATTGTTTATATCTTGCACAAAATTATTTTATGCTGCCTAGGAAAACTATAAGAGAAAATACAAACATTATATGCTTGTTTAAACAAGATTGTAATTAAAGATTGTAAAATGTAAATCATATTTATGATGATCATGTATCAAATGATATGTCAAAAGCAGAGCCGTACTTTCGCAAGTGCAACAA